ACGTAGGTATATAAATGAGCAAGGTAGCAGTCAAGTTACATCAGACATAAAGAGACGGTGACTGATTTGATTCCCCAAAAACCTCAAGGATGACAAGCCTGTCGTTATCGCTGATCCTGGCTGTTGCGCAGGAACTTCTATGCCAGGCGTCACCTGCGTACCCGATGCTGGAAGTGAAGGATGTTAAGGAGTATGCAAAGAGTGAGGACCTGCATTTAAACGCAATGCATGAGAGGGATGCTGATGATGAGGAAAGTACCAGTAATGGCGAGGGGGAATTTAAGGAGCTTCTGGCCCCCGCAAGCTGGGAAAGCTACAACAAATACAGAAGTTCAAGGAGCTATGAGGAGCGCGTAAGGTTATGCGTTCGTCTTCATGGTTCGTCAACCAGCTGGTGGTTTATGAAATGTATGGGTATTAAATGAATAAATACACAGTTAAGTACATTTTAATTTCTTCTGTATGCACCGTTGACCTCTGGCCAGACAATTAAGCCCATCTGGGAGAATGAACTCTGTTCCTGGCACGTAAGAACCACAAAGGTTGACAAGTTCCGCCAGACATTTAAATTGCAGTTTGATAGAGTAGAGCAGACTCAGTCCTCCAAAATGTCAAAGAAGAAAAAAACACGCGACTACTCTTCTCAGATTATCATCTACGATATGATAAGGAGACAAATATAAAGATATATGTAAGATGTTTGCGCTTTGTCCGTTGCTACCGAACACATGTTTTCGAGGGTGGGAAATAGTATAGTATAGGTTACACCACGGACACAAGAATCCCAAGCATTCTGTAATACATGACCAGTTATACCAGAGATTATACGAATGGGACAATACAGAGCGCAAATGTGGAAGGGATATAAATATAGCAAATACAAAAACTGCAAATATCGAATAACCTTACTATACAAAGCAATAAAACAGCTATATATAAAGAGACTAAACCACCAAGTGTAAAGCAGATCAGATCAATAGCCGGTGCGAAATAAGTCAACTGTAAACTGCAACTAGCAACAATTATTTGAAAAACTGATACTGGCCTACTTATGCAAGCAGATGATGTGCAAGCAAGTGAACACGGAAATAGAAATGCAATGTAAATATACGCGTTAATCTACATGACTGTAACAGATGATTGCCAATTTTTGAAGGTGAATAGAAAGTAAGTCAATAGGAAAATACTGAGAAAGGTGCCAGGGGAACGCTTAATGTTGCGCTTTATTCGTGACGCCAGGTTAAAAACGTATGTTGGTAATATTCATAGAGCCTATGTGGACATTTGGCGGTTAAGGGAACAGCGCCAGATGGAAGCTTTAGCACGTTATTTCGTGAATTTGACTGTGGCCCAGAAGCGAAGCAGTGTCCAAAGTCTGCAGCATGCATGAATACGGTTGTCGATATCAGCCATACTTTGCAACGGGCGACTTCGTGGATTTGAGCACTACGATGATGTGATAAGGTGCAGGGAATGTTTATTATGAATAAGAAAGTACAAAGACAGACGGGAAGGTCTAACTAAAACCTGTCAGGTGGTATGTAAACGTTGGTTGTGGGAACAGCAGGATTCAGCACAAACTATGCTGTGCTTACCCCATTTGCATTTATTTTTACCACAGCACTAAGTTTGCAATGAAAGGGCTACGTGGGTCTTAACTATACATTTTATTTATTTTTTATTTATTCACTGGGCCCTCACTCGAAGTGCCGAGGCATACAAAATGATCGTATGCGGTCACTTTCTTCACGGTCGACATTGATCTACGGATACGTATTTAGTCGGTTATTTGTAGGAGGCCTAGGGTCTCTGCACCCAATGGCTACAGCTTTCTATAGGTGATGACATTTTATAGTTTGACTATGAACCCTCAAGTTCACCTCGAGTAGTTCACCGCAGTAGCTTATTACTTCCCGTTTTAATGGACCTACCTGGCTAACTCGGGTACATTAGACAACACAAAACGGGAGTAAGGACACCATGAAGACCTTCGTAGCTACGACTGAATGATTAAATTACCACGTTCTGCAACTCGTGTCCAAAATGTGCCTCTTTAAAAACCCAGCACGGCAAATGCGGTCTCCAGTAAAGTCAATGACAACATATCACCCATTTCAAAGTATATTATTTGCTATTTGGAATTTATATTTTTCAGCGCCGGTACGGCACTATCTGTACAAAGTTAATTTCTTCCGTTCATGTCGGTGGCCGACTTCACTAAGTGTACAGAACTGTCGCTATCACGACATGACGCGGTAACCGTTACCACCACTATTTCTAACAACTGGATATGCTGTTTTGGTGAAATTTGTCTATCTCTTCGAACTTTTTTGCAAAATTTGCTAGCAAACTAATCTAATGTACGTGTGAATTACTGGGGATTTATAAGATCCGCAAAACACCCTTCAGTCCAGAAGGTAACATACAAGTTAAGCGAACGAACAAGACATTAGCTAACTTTCTTAAGGTCTTCGCGGAGGACCACCAGCCGCATGACAGGGATAAAAGACTTCCCTTATAAAGACGAAAAGACGCACTCCCGCCTTCCTGTCGACCCTCAAGCACTCCTACCGCTCCTAAACGCTCATACTTATAACGACATGAAGTCTTCCTGCTCACGCAACCTGGCCAGGTCTCATGAACGAACAGTATACGAATGCCAGAAAAGTAGCTTTGACCGACAAAAGTAGGGTTCTCCGGTAAAGATTTGTCGTAAGGCCGCCAATGGCAAATGTCGCTCCAATCAAGTTTCTTCCTGAATTCTTGGTAAAATACGAATAGGGTGGGTGCGCACACCACGAGCCATATAGGTTCGTGATAGCAAGGCAACAATAAAGAAATTAAAGCCACTTGTTATTGTTTTAGTGAGCTAAAATATAGGTGATGACGTTGCATAAAATAAAAAACTGAAGTGGAAGCCTGTAGACCAAGAAAACTATTAGTAAAACTACGATTGGTTAACATAATCCAACAAGAGTTTGAATAGCTGTAGATGCAACGTAACGAGAAGTTGCAGTTTTTATATTCATATATATATATATGATGAAGTGGATCCGACAAAGCAAAGGGAGACCAGAATGGCCATTTCCGGCTTATTAGCCGTCATCAGCCAGTCGTACCCAATCTCGAGGGATGGCACCCCCGAGATTTGAACCCGGGACCCTCGGTCATTGTGTTCAGAACGCCACCTCTAGTCCACGGGTCCCCTGCTTTGTCGGTTGTGATCGGGAATAT